CGTCAAAAAGCGCAGACGTGTAAAATAATGTATGTAAAATGTTCGAAATAATGTTTAATTTATTGTATTATAATTGTTAATTGTTTTTTGTATCTTGGTGTTAGTGCCCTGAAGACGGTTTGCCGATGTGCAACCGAAATATATCGGAAGAGAATTGAATAAAATTGTTTTTCATTGTTTGTTTTAACAAACACGGACCTCGAGCCAGCCAACAAATAAATATTGAAATATGGAAAGGTCGCCAGAGCCATCAATAGATTAGGAAAATATATTTGCACAATTTATGAAAATGAATTCCATTATCTGGCATCTAGATAAGCTCAAATGTAATCTTATGCTGAAGTATTGTGTCTGTTGAATAGGTTTTTATATATATATCGAGGCTGCAAAAAGGGTTTGAACCGAAAAGTTTTTGTTACTGAAATTCCAATTCCAATTTGATAAACAATCGAAACGCTAACCAAATTAGTTGATAAAGTATATATTCTTTAAATATTTGCTAGAGTTTTGCAGATTGTTCCAGTGCTCCAAATATTTCAAATTATTCAAAATATGTGATTTAAATATACCATAGTTTAAATGGAACCCAACTGAAACGGCAGACAGAAAGCTCATGCAAGCCATAAATCAAACCCAACTAAAACTTTTGTTAGAATCGCAACTTTGATATGCCTATTTATATGTTCTACAATTCTCTATGGAGAGCACAACTTCTAATTAGCGCTACGAGTACGCCTTTTGTGCCGTCTCATAGAAACATAAACATATAATCTGCACTTTTCTTGCTCAATTATAAAGTTCCCACATGCTTTCGTCTGCCAACTAAATGTAGAAGTTGTTTTTTCTTTCAATTGCCACTCGCTGTGGTATCATATATGTAAATTAGGAGCCTGGGCACCACCCACCTGCATTTAACGGCGCAGATTTTTAGCAATAACTTTGTGTATGTGTGTGTGTGTGGGAATGGCAAAGACCCTGCTGACCCAATTAAGCCTCATTACCAAGTAAATCAGTTAATTGTCAGGCACAAGACAGCACTAGCTGCCAAAGAGAAAGAGACGGAGAAAGAGAAATAGAAGAGAAGAGCAGAGTATTAGCTCGCAGAGTCTTTCTCACGCTGCAGATGAGCACTTGTCGAAGAAGAAGCTGCAGCACTTTTGGTTTCAAGCACGAGTTTTTGCTATTATATCTTTTTGACCAGTTTCGAGCAGCTGCTGCGGCTGCTCTCTTGGCCACAAGCACACAGCAAACCAATCGAATTGAAGTTTACAAAAATAGAAAGCATTGGCAATAAATACAATTTCTAAATTCTTGGCAAGCAAACGTGACAAGTGCGGCAGCTGCCCCGCTGGCTCCCCTCTCCCTCTCCCTCTCCCTCTGCCTCCTCTCTCTCGCTCACTCTCTTTCTCTGTGGGGACCTACATGGAGAACGAGAACGAGAACGAGAATAAAACGAAACCCACTGAAAAGAAATCATTTATGGCAATTGTCTGAGGAAAAACTTGCACACGACTTTTATGACCGCGTCTAAGACTAAGTCGACTTTAAAACTTGTGTAGACAAGAAGTTTGGACAAGTTGCTGGCAGAAACCTTTTTGCCTTTTAACTTTTGCCTTTTAATTAATACAAGTTACGGCTTTCTTTAACCCATTTTCGGCTTAACTACAACAACTAAATTACTTGCAATCTCGAGTCGCTAGTCTTTGGTCTCAGCTCTCAATCTCTCAAGCTTGGCTCGCATTTCCTTTTGGCCGCATCATTGTAATAGAAATTTTAATCACACGCTGAACCACTCTGCATCAATGCCAAAATGTGCATTGTACGACAACTTTCTATGGTAAAAATATAAAGTAAAAAAAATGATATGCAAGCATTTAATTGCGCGTGTAATAAACAAATGCTCAACAATAGCTGCACACAAACCATAAATTTGCAATTCATTTTTTTGGTTTTCCTTTGTTATTTTATATTTTGTTGCTGTACATTTAATTAGACATGCGCGGCCTAATCGAATCGTAGATATTTGTACTCCAGTTGAGCAGAGCTACGACTGCAAATATGTATATATAAATATAGTATATATAGTTGCACAGTTATCAACTAACTGGGCTGAAAATGTGCCTTAATTAGCCTGCCGAGGCCCCAATTAAAACTGTTTGCCATTTTATATAGGTATTTGAGAGCTGAGCTGAGCTCCATATTTATATATAGACATACATATATATAGTTATGGTTCGAGTTGATGTTTGAGTTTGGGCTCATGAGAATGTTTATGATATGCTGATGATGCTGCTGTCTTTGCCTGGGCTGTCAATAACGAGGGCAGACCGAGAAGTTACTGATGTATGAAACTTTCAACTTTTCTTTGATGGCAATCGCAACATTAACATTAACCTCCAGCTACATTCTTTTACAATACACTTATCTATAATAAAAGAGATTTGGTTTACCATACGATACACTTATCTTGGGATCGAGAACTCTTTGGATCATGAACAAAACGACAAACGAATGAGCAGTTCATCTGTGAAATGAAGGCCTTATTTTGAGATATACTATGATATTTGAAAGATATACAGATAGAAAATATAGACATCATATAGAGTACCAGTCGAATTTCCTATTGCTCATATTTCTCAGCCGACCCTCGCATGTGCAGTTAGGGAAATGTGCTAATATGTGACATGCGCCACTTGAAAGCTAATTGGAAGATTTTGCCATGTGTGTGCGTGTGTGTGGGTGAGAGTGTGTGTGGTTGTGTGTGTGTACTAATGATAAGCTTTGCATTTTGTATGGCATATGTGAGCAGCATACGGGGCCGGCGAACCTTTGAGGACTTTGTGTGTGCACTTCAAAGGCCTGCGGCAGCTTAGTTTTGCGTTGCAATAATTAAAACTTCGAGCTCTTATCGAACAATTAGCGTTTAAATGGAATCTGATTATGATATTTGCCAGATATGCAGCATGAATCAATTATGCTATTCAGCATTCAACTTCTATGTTAGCTAATGTGCTTATATTACTTGAACATAAGCTGTAGCCAAAGAGTCAATGTCGAATCAGAAGTCGTGAAGCGTACACATTCACATTGCCTAAATTCATAAATTAACAGCAAAAACTGAAATGGAGACGAGAATTTGAGGCCTGAACGTCAGCGAAGCTTATCACTCAACAGCAACAATGGGAAAAGCAATTAAAAGTTGGCCTATGTTCTGCTGACAATTTTCCAACAACTGAAAATTGCTTAAACTGAGGGTGTGGCTGTGGGTTGTTGGCCATAATCAGGGCTGTGTATGGCAGCTTAAAACCTTAAAGCATTTTGCATTTGAGTACCTGCACTCGGGCTGTGCTGGATAACAGATTTTAGGATTGGAAGGAGGCCTGCTTTTAGGCTAAAGTTGGACCGGAAAATGTTTGCCAGTTGGCAACAACAGAAAACAGCCGCAGCAGCAGCAGCCACAGAGCCGCCGACTGTTCCACTTTTTTAGCATCAATGGCTCGTGACATTGTTTGTGTGCACAGATATTTACACACAAACATACACACACACACACACACTCGCGCGAGTTTATGCAACATACAACGTTTATGGACTGCCCACTCCACAAAACACTTTTCATGAAAACACATCAGAAGTCTCGACAGCCGCACACTTTTAATTTCGGTATTTGTACGTGTTAAAAAAGGCTGCAAACTGGTTTTCAGCCGATCTGCTTCACGCCCTGAACTTTGAATTCTAATATGTATTTTACTTTAAACCGAAACTTATATAAATCAAGACAAAATTGTTTAATAGATATTTGGAAAATAGCGCAAGTGTTGCAGCAATTCGAGTGTTTCATCAAAGCCTGGCTTCAAGAAGGTATTTTGATTCTTTAACGAACCGTGAACCCTTTTTCGGCTGCTCATTTCATGATTAACAAACTTCGTAAGTCTTGTCGCATAAACACCTTAGCACACACACGCACACACAAATAGAACTGTGTAAAGAACCAAAACATGTTTCTAACAAGTGAAACGTGCTTGAGGTGAGAGTAAGCAGCTAGCCAATACTCTCTACGCAATACAAAAGTAACATGAATTTGAAAAAAAAAAAGAAAACTTGTTCTTGTACCTGCCCTAAAACGAATAAAAATAGATAGTTATTTAGAAAGATAATAGATTATAATAGATAGAGGCTAGATTTTAGTCAAATATGCATGTGACTAAACATAACTTTGGTAAGGGTATATTAATTATGCTGCTGACAGAGGCAGCTGAAAAGAAAAGTGCCTGCGAGCGTCAAGCCGTGTCGGATATAAGAGATATATAGTGAGAGAGATAGAGAGAGAGAGAGAGAGAGAGAGAGGGGTAGGAAAAGAGGTAGAGAAAGAGAGGCAGAACACACTCTTAATGAGAAAGTTCATTTGCTTTACGCATTTGTCGCAGCCTGAGCCTGAAACTGAGATTAAGTGAACAAAGCATTAATTTATGTAGTTAAGTTCATTTAAATTAATCAACTTAACAATTGCTTAAATGCGTAGCTTGGAAAGAACACAAAGAATATATCATTAAGATTGCAGAGCGTAGAATATAATAATTAAATATGAACTCTGTCAAGTCTGATAAAAGTTGATATGTAAATAGTTTTGAGATGTTGTTGATGTCTTCAAAATCTTTAAGTTGGAGTATGTCAACATCTAAATTGAGTTTTTTCCCCTTGCTGTTAAACATATTCACTAATTTTTACGCTAGCTTCACATGTTAATTTATTAGGCACGAACACGTACCATATTTAAGTTGATAACAACTGAAGTTGTCACACACACTCACACACACGCATACACACACAAAGTGAAAACATATTTCTCTTGTATTTGTTCTTCGAGGCATTTCCTGACACTTTCTTTTGTCAGGCACTTGAAATAATGAACTGGCATCTTAATTGAATTGAAAATGAGCTTATAATAATTAAAATTGTATAACTAACTTTGAATTTCTTTTGCGCTCTTCTAATTGCAGCCCGAGTTTGAAAAAAACAGCCGCAAAATTTCGAAAACATCGAAAATGGTCTTTGACTGTGGTGTCTGGTGTGCAAAGTATTTGCTTTGCATACTGAATTTCATATTTTTTGTGAGTATAAATAAAGTACAATTTGTATTTGAATAAATAATAAATAAAATAAAATTAAATGAAATATGCAATAAAAAAATTTGAAAAAATATTGCACATATTTTACAAGAAAATAAATTTTAAAAGTTGTTTTGCTGCTTTTTAATTTGCATTTTAAATTTCAAATGCTCTGTCACAAAAATTAAAATTTAAATGTTAAATAAAGGCAACCGAATGAGCAACGAGGCTAATAAATTCCGTTTTAAATAAATGAAAATATTTGTAAATAATTTCCCTAAGGAATGCATTTGAAAAGTGTTTTTTTTATTTATATTTATTTTGTTGTTGTCGGTTTATTAAATTGCATTACAAATTGTTCGGAGGCGCGGCTACAACATTGCGGCTGCAGTCAATCAAGCAAATCTCTGCGCATGCGCAGTTTTTTCGCATTTATGGCGGTTCATTGACTCTGTGGTCGTTGTTGTTGTTGCAATTGTTGCTGGTGGTGTTAGTGTGTTTATCGTCTCAACATCATCAGCAACAACAACAAATGCAATCAACATGACCGAGCAACATAAACATAATAATGTTGTGTGCTGGCCTACGATTTGCATGCCAAGCTAACTGAGGGTTATTTTTTCCTATCATGAACACCTTTTTGTTTTTTTTTTGTTTGTATCTTGCAGGTGCTAGGCACAATTATATTCGGAGTCGGACTATGGCTGGCCATCGACAAGCACTCGCTGATTGCTCTGCTCAAGCTTGTCGAGAGCGAGCGCATTGAGGTAAGTGTCCACATCTAATGCCAGGTGAAAGTGTGCGGGAAACACCCCAAACAGCCAATGCCAGGAAAACTGCCCACCAAAAAAATGCCAATCATAACATTGAAAGGCAATTTACGCATTATTATTATTAGTTTTATTATTTTGAAGTCCAACTGCGAAGCCACCCCAAATGCGAGACATACCCATATCCATATTATCCCCCATCTCGTATTCCCCAAAGCGACATCACGTGCAACTGCAGCACGTAATTGTTGACATTGCCCCATGGAAAATTAGTTCGAATGCGAGTTCGTCATTAAAGCTCAGCTCCATATGTTATTAGAAAAAAGTCAGCTATATATAGAAGGGTGGGTTCAAGAGGGTTGTATCCACAAAATTGAAACCCAGTAATCCTATTCTAACATTCCATATTGTAGTACTAAATTAAACTGTTTCGAGCCTAAAACTCTCACTATAAATCGTAAACTAGTTTCTTCTAAATCAGCCTAACCTCAACCCAAATCAAACTAAACCTACACCAAATATAGCCCACATTTTGCATATGAAAATATCTATATTGAAATATTTTCAGTACATGGGGCAAATGTAACATGTAAAAATTTAAGTATTAGAATCATATGATGTAAATCTAAGACAAAGATTTATCCAAAACCTAAGTGAAAACCTAATGAAATCAGCTTGGTTTCCTTGGATTTCCACCTTAAGAAAGATACATGCATATCTTAGCTTTTATTTTTTTAAGTTCTCCAGTCCCCAATCCTAAAGCTCAAACTTGAATCACTTTGTCCAAGCGGAATCGCTTTGCATGCAAAATGATTTATTATCTAGATTAAAAGCTCTATTTAACATCATGTCAACAACAAATGGAATAGACATGGTTGTATAATGAACAAAATGTATAGTAAAATAACAGATACATATATAAATATATATAATAATAAAAACTAGCTTCAATTACAATTACATCGTTAGCTGTGGCTTATTTAATTTCTCATGAATAATATAAATTCCGCAAAAAGCCACAACTTCCGTGGCATGACGGATGCCGACAATGCCTGTGGATGGGCTATTTGTTTATAAACAAATGAGTTTGCATTTAGAAATTGCATTCTCAAAAGTCGTAAAACTTTTCATTTACTTAAGGCGACACATTTCGAAAAATACAAAACTAAATATTAGCTCGATTGAATGAGAATATATATATGATTATGCATATATATTAATTGAGTTTGGCTTCGGAACATGGCAAATTCCGCTGCGCAGTTGCATGTCATGTGGCAACAAGCAATTGAACGCTGTCTGTCCAAGTTCGAGGCACATTTCGTTCGCTTTTGACATACTAAGTGAAAATCGTTTGGAAAAACAAATGCGGAACAGGCAAAGTGCATGTCCTAGTTGCGCTGCGTGTAATGAGTAATTGCAGGTAACTCGAAATGCACAGGTAAAGGCTAATTGAGTAAACTGGCGCCTGGCGTGGGAGTTGCACAGTTTGGTCAATGAACTTCTCAAAACTTTCAACTGACCGAAATTTCATTATTTTTGCTTTTCCAACAACCCACTCGCAGCCGTCGGCTTTTAGAGTACTTAAGTCTTTCATAGTTGTCAAAAATTTGTCTGTGTCAATTAAGAGATCTCGTACATAATTTAATTACGAATGTTGCGAAAGTTGTTTGGGCCAGTCGAAAGGTTAATTACAATTACGTATACGCCGCGCAGTACGCATTCTTATGCAAAGCACTGACAATTCTCAATTCTCACAATCTCATGCTTCTCTTTTTAGCATTTTACACAGCCTCAGGTCATAGAGCAAATGGCCTACGCTCTGCTCGTCATCGGAGCCGTCATGTTCTTCATGAGCCTCTTGGGCTATTTGGGCGCCATGCGTGAATCACGCTGCCTGCTGTCAACGGTAAGTGTCCAGATACAATTACGATCGAGTCACAGATACAAAGATACAAGTAAGTCTCTCGGCTGTTGCCCAATGAGCGGTTGCATCATCGAGCCAGCCGAATTGTCGAATTGTAATTGCAACTTTCAATGGCGCCGCGGGAGACGCAGCCAACAAATATTCATTGCACGCTTATTCAAACGGGTTGTAGATTTTGTCTTTAAAGATATTTATTTTTCGTTTTATGTTTTTTTTTTTTTTCTGTGAGATTTTCATTTGACTTTGGTGCTGGCTTGGAAAATTTGTTGGAACCTTCGCTGCGGCCAGAGAAAGTTGCGATATGTTGTGGGTATATGTTGTAGGCCTCGTTTTATGATCTTAACATCTGACATTTCCATGAGCTTTGGAACGTGTTTCAGCACTTCATCAAGTGTCGTGAGGCGCTCGCGATTGCATGTGTGTGTTTGTGTGTGTGACAAGCCCTTCACTTTTGGCTCTGTACTTGATCTTGTGTGCTTGGAATTGTAATTTCACCTGAGCACATTTCAAGGCGCTCGCACAAGTTACACCTGAATCATAAGCACATATATTCATCTATCGGGCAGTCTGCGGCCCAACCCTAAAAGAAATTTCTATGATTGAGCTCGTGCTGGGCGACAATTAATAAACAGTTTATCACTTTGGCTCTGGCATTGCGAGTACTCGACTATTTAAGCTATTCATAAGCGTCTCAAGACTTTCCAGGGCTTGGCCAATTTAATTGCAACAGGTGCATGCCTTGGTCGGGACAGAGGGGGGACTTGCCTTCTTGTTGTTAATAGTTAATAGTTGTCTCACACACACACACACACACACACACGAATCGATTGCCCTTCGGGGGCGTAGCTTAGACTACAAATATCTCTAAATGTGTATGCACAAAATTGAGCACAATTTGCAGTAAATGAAGCGAGGGCACTTTTAGTTATGGCCCAAGGCCGGGCACTTAGCATGGCCAAAGTGTCTTAGCATTGCTTATTTTTAGAGAGTGCGCCAATTATTTACCAATTGGCAAGTTCATTGGGTCTCGAGCTCTTAAAATGTTATTTGCGACACGATGTTTAACGAGTAAATGCTTTTAAATTGAAAAAAAAGCGTCAAGAAAGAACAACAATGCCAAAGCAAGCCGAATATCAAATACCCTTGTTGCAATTTGGGCTAGAAATACTTTTGGATTACCGAAAGTTTATTTCTTTAGATGTTATATAATATAATAGTGCTAGTACATCAATCCGGCCGATTTTGACATATAAACTACCCAAAGGGTTTACAGAAGTCTTCCTAAATGCATTACACAATGTTATCAGAAACTCTTTAAGGGTATAAAAATAATGACTGCACTGCAGCTAATAGAATAAATATAGGGCTTAAAGCCGGTTCATCGTCGGTTTTTTCTTTGGCCTTTCTGTAAAGCGGGCTTCTAAATTTAGGCACACAAATTGCATGTATCTGACAGATACATTAGCTGGCAGACAGTTAGCTTTGGAGAGCAGCGAACGAAATGCTGCCAGGCGTAACAGCCAGCACAGCAGCAACATGGAACTTTATCAGGCCAAAGCATCGCGACAGTAACAACAACAACAACAACAACAAATACCAAAAGAGCTTATAAAACATTCAAGCAGCATTTCAAATTGACCTTCAGCATTTAAGATTGGCCAGCGCCTGCAGCGAGTGTGTGTGTTTGCGAGTGTGTGTGTTTGCCCGAACTCAACACACATCTAACGCATGCTGCACATTTGGCTCAGGGTCAAACGCATAGATTTTTATGTAATGCTCACGACTCGACTATATAAATTATGAATTGGGTCAGCGGGTGAATGGGGCGTATGCGTAATGTGCACATTCTATATTTACCAACACTGTTACATATATGATTTTATTTTTGCGCAGTACGGCACCTTCCTCATACTGCTGCTGGTGGCGGAGCTCGTGGCCGGCGGCCTGGCTGTCTTTTATAAGGAAAAGGTGCGCAGCGAGAGCAAAAAGTTCCTCCAGACGACAATCACCAGCTATACGCTGGGCGAGAACATGGATGCCACGTCGCTGATGTGGAACCAGCTGATGGGCAACTTTGGCTGTTGCGGCATCAATGACTATCATGACTTTGACGAGTCGGAAGCGTGGAAGAACACAAAGGGCAATCGCACCATACCGGAGGCCTGCTGCGTCCTCAAGGATATGGCGCAAATGGTGCCGCGCGACGAGGACTGCACGACCAATCCCAGCGATGCCAACAGCTACTACAAAAACGTACGTGTCACCTGCTCCACTTGATTGTGAACTAAAACTAAAATACCTTTTACCTTGTAGGGCTGCTACGGGGTCTTCACCGAGTGGTTGATACGGCAGCGCGAGCTCATCATTGGCGTCATTGTGGCCGGCATTGTGCACCTTATCCTGGTCATACTCGCCTTTGCGCTGTGCAAAGCATTTGCCAAATACGACGATATGCGTCTGTAAAGAGGTTTTCTTTTCATATAGAGTAGCCAAAAAAAAAAAAAAAAAAAAACAGGAAAGCTTATTGTGGGTAAAACAACAAAACAGTGAATGGCAAACGCAAATAGCTAAGAAATACAAATTAAAGAAAACAACAAAAATAACCCCAACGAACATTGAGATACGCTCAAATTTCAAATGCATTTTCCCCCAAACTCACACACACACACACACACACTTCTACTCTACGCAAATATAAATAAAAGGAAACCCGAAATGAAAGTTTAACAAATATTTAAAACAAATGTTGCTCAAAAATTGCCACCAGACACGAGAAGAGTGGACGATGTTTTTATGAGAAAGAAAATATGAAGAAAAAAAAATGCTACGCATATTTATTTGTGAATGAAGAAAATCTGTTTTGATAGCAGTTTTAGTTCTTAAGTAGTATTCTACTATATACATACACACCCACATGCATATTTGTATTAATTATAGAGTTTTTTAGTCGTATTTCATTAAAAATTTTGCAAAAGTGACTCTTTGCAGCAAAAAACCACTCAAATACATCACAAGAACGTATAATAAAGAAAATAAAAAATAAAAAAATAAAAGAAGAAAAGATTTTGAAGTCAAAATATATATAATAAATTTGAAATAATTAAACACATCTAAATGAAATCGGCAAATGCGATTTTCAATATATATTGAAGTTGTACTATGTGTATTAGAACGTAAGTCTTCTATGTTTAAGTTCTAATTTTAATTGTTTGCTATGGCTATATTCAAGTTTTTTAACTACACGTATCGAGCGAGCGCGGCGAATGCATCGTGTTTATACCTTTTGTTAAAAATGAATGTTGTACATTTTTGAATTATATATGTATACACGTTTACATACACATTATACATACACATACATACATACATATATATATATATATATATAACTATAATTAATGCATATTATAAACACGTATGTCTGTAGTTTACTTAATGTACTTTTGAAGCAAAAAGGCCCCCAACTGAAAAACTAAAATCCGAATTATAAAAAAAATGAAGTGAAAATAAATTCCAAAATACAACAAATTTCAAATGTATAATTCTGAAAATTTTCGAATTTGAATTTAAAAAATGAAAATAAATAAACATCGAATAAAAGTTTAACAAATCTTTAAATCATTTGACTTTAACTGGACCAATAAATTGGAGCAGGCATAAAAAAGCGACATTAACCGAGTTAATGGATAAATAGCCATTCATTTATTTGTTTATTCTGTTACATAAAATATATACTCGTACTTTAGCTTAACTATTATTTGTTTTCATTTGGAAAAAATTGATCATATTTTACGACCCTATTCGTGTTCTTCGGCCAGCCTTGTAAAATGATATAAGAGTTTGTTCATGTTCGGAATATTTATCCTTTGGCGAATGTTTATGTTCCATACGTAGTTTACTTAAGTGAATATAAAATTGAGTTAAACACCACACCAAATATAAATACTTTTTTTTTTTTTGCTTTGGACAAGCATTTGAAATTCACACGCATGCTTAGAGAAGTAGCTTGGAATAGACTTAAATAACTAGGCATATATATATATATATATATATTGTTGTTGTTGCAGTAAAAAGAGATATATATGTATATAGTTAGAGTATGTATTTACATACTTAGATTAGGAGCTATGTGCCTGCATTATGCTTTTGGAATACTTTGCGTAAAGACTTGAAGGAGCAACAGCTTGCATCGCCTGCAGAATAATAAATCACAACAGATCCTCAGCTGTATGTGAATATACAAAATAGAAAATTTATTTTTGGTATGTCTATAAAGTGAAGATAAAAAAAATCCTATGGGCTGTCTGTGAGTTTGAAGTTGCTTGTTGCAGAGTGTATGGAAAAAAAAGCGCTTCAAATCTGTCACATGGAATTTTTTGTTCGGTTATCGCTAAGTACTTCTAAATAACACTTGGAGCGAGATCGGAAAACGAAAATAAGCCTTGGGTAAATCACTTTTTAGAAAAGCTCAGTTGTAAATATGTTTACAAAAATTTCAACTGGAATTATTATAATTAGCCAAAAGTTACGACATAGGCGGCTCATCGCCGTAGTTGGGCTTGGCCAGGAATGGTATCGAGAAATCGACCATATTCGGATAGACCAAAAACTTATTGACCGCCTCGCACAACTTGCTCTCAATCACATTCGTAACAATGGACCAATCCACCGACTTATCGCCAACTTGCGGCTTCGTCGATATCCACAGACGCGGCGGCCCCCGGAAGCATAGCCAGACGCGATCCGACGGCGGCGGCGGTATATTCAGTGTGCCGCGTGCCACCATGCCCTTCAGCTCCACACGCAGCGTTATGTTCGCGTTCATGTTCTCCATGGCGCGCTGCACGTACGGCAGCTCCGTGGCATACTGAAACAAATTGGAGGTGGCAATGCGATCCACAATCTTGAAAATGCGCCGAGCATTGCCCGGCGAATTCTGGAAGAACCTGCAAACGGGTGGGGCTTAGATTTAGATTTTAGATTTACACAGTTGAGGCACCTACTCGGCATTGTTTGCATTCTCAACAGGTGCGCCTGGCTGCGAAGCTTCCGAATCCGACGAGGAGCCACCCGTACTCTCAGCATCGCTGTCAAAGATGGAATTGCTGCCATCCGGCTGAAGCTCATCGGGCGCACTGCGCCCCTCCACATTTGGATCTTGTGACGTTCCAGCTGCATCCGCGTTGGCGGGAGATGTCTTCGGTTTGCTGCGCACGCGCAGCAGATTCAGCTTGGTGGTAACCGTAATGTGGGCCAAGCCCTCATAGGTGACATCCGCGTCCAGCCAAATGCCGCGCTCGTCCAGCATGGGCTGCGATATGCGATGGACCAGCATGGGCGATTTGCCCAAATAGATGTTCGTGATGATGACCTCCTCCATAAAGCTGGGCAGCTACAAAATGCGAAACAGCATCAATTGAGTGGAAAGAACTGAGAGCAGCGATTGCAGCGGGCACTGACCTTTATGGAGTTGAGTTTCTTTTGCATGAATTCCTGAATCTTTATTTGCAGTCCAGGATTATGCAGGCAGCTAAACAGGCAGCGACCAAACAACACATTCGCCCAGACGACACTGCCGGACGGGCCCAGAAATAGAGACTGATTAATGCCCTTCCACAGCTCGTGTTCCTGTCGTCTGGCACGGCGATTCTATAAAATCATCAGAAGTATAAGCCAAGCACTTAAACGAGAGCCCAGACTTGGGTATATTTATCTACATTTGGCTAATGTTGCAATTAAATTAAGAAATAAACAAAATATAACCTACTCTTCGGCGATTTGACCCAGAACTCTGTGCATTATAATTGAGATTACGGCAAACGGGAATCTGGCTTTGATTGCAAGCGTTCTACGAGTACAAAAAGAATATCATAAGGGAAAAATCATAGAAATCAAAAGCCAGGCAAAAACGAAAGTCAAGGAAGGGCTGGACCTATTGTGATTATGGCTACCTGGTAGACCGTCATGAATTTTACATATTCCGGCGGATTTCGTGCGACGTCTGAGTTCATGATAAGGCCCTCATAGCCATCTTTTTGTGGGTCTGTCGTCGGATCCTCGTCGATTGCTTCGTCCAGCGTATCGGGCGTATTGGCCCCGGTATTGTCATCATTAATCAGCGAAGTCATGGAGCCGTCTTCGCCTTCCTTGAAGCGCGCCTGCAATTAAGTTACGTCAAGAATTGAAACAGAGCTACGCTTGAATTTGCACACCTTGGGAAAACCCCTTGTTAGATTGATGGCCTGCTGGGCGGCAATCGCCTGCAGATCTGTATCCTCCACATAATGCGCCATGGGCACCTGCAGCTCCGACTCGTGGACGCAGCCTCTGCTGGCCGCCATGAAGCGACGATACCAATCCTCCTTCTCGCGATCGCAGCGCGCAAACATCAGCAGACGCACCTCGTCCCCGCATGGTATGGTTATGTCCCGCACTTCCTTATCGGGCGTTATGGAATGATGCAGCTGGCGCAGCTGCAAAAAAAGAGAAGGCAGGAGGGGGGGTTAAGCATCACATATATAGTTATCCGATCTGAACCTACATCGGCGAGCATAACTGTGGTGCCAAACTCAACGGATTTCAGGGTCTCATTGGCCTGGGTGGGCGTGACGCTAGTTGCGCGAGACGTGCCCTCCGTTGGATCAGCATCCTCCATGGGTGTATAATAGCCAGTGCAGGCGTTCTTTACAATTAGCTGGATTGGATATTTGCGATTAAAGAAGCTGCAAGTGAAAAGATTTAGTCCCGCAACATCCAAGCCAAGTTATCTGATCAAGAACTCACCGCTTTCTGGCCAGGCCCATGGGCAGCAGCTCGACGCGAGCGTCGCGCAAATCGTAGGAGCGATGATCGAGAAACAGAACCTTGGCCCGATCGATGGGCTTCTCGTTCCACATGCGCCGCTTAGGTATGCGTGCATTTGTGCCGGATATCTTTAGATTCGTGCCGTCGAGGCGTATATAGATGGCTCGCGTCATGGCAAAAGAGAACGTAGCGGGATCATAGCTATCCAGCTCGTTCATCCAGCCCGCATAGCTCTTAATCGTCTTGTGCTCCTCCACGGCAGGTATCTCGCAAATGGGCATGCCATCGTAGTTGGGTATCTGAAAGGGCCGACGCTCCGGATGTGTGCCCAGCACAAGGTTCTCAAATAACCAGCTTATGTAGTGGCTGCAATAGTTCACTCCTGCGATGAACATAACGGTGGCCAGAACACCGCGCCAGAATTCGGGCAGTGGCAGCACAGTTAGCGCAACTAGGCTGCCCACAGCCAGCATCGGCTGACTGACGGCACCGGCACGCCAATTGATGGAGCTGGCGGCGCTCAGTGTGCTCCAGAGCGAGAAGCCCGACGCGTTTAGGTTGTTCCGAAGGGGCACATTGGCGACCAAGGATCTCCTTTGCAACGACTCCTCCAGGGGATTGCTTGAGTTGTTCAGCGGCAGTTCAAGAACAAAACTTCGTTCCCTGACGGTGTCAACGTCTGAAAACTGGACACTGCCCGGCTGTGCATCCGAAAACACTTGACTGCCGCTCGGCGGTGCCATGTCCTCGTGCATCTCCACGCCAGACTCAATTTCCACATCCTTGTGGGCCAGCAATATGCCGCGCTTGGCCTTGCCACTGACTATGGGAATTTCTGGAGCGGATGCGCTCTGATGCATCGGCTTGGGCTGCTCGGCCTGCTGGCCACTGCCTGTGGCCCCTTCGCTGTTCGCCTCCGCATTGTTGTTGCGTCGGCGCAAAAAGCCGCCACGTATGCTTGACGGCGCATTCGGAGCGCTGCTCTCCCTCTCCTTCTTACTCATGGCGGCTGCCTGTTGCTTGGCCTTTACCCTGGACTTGATGTGCGCAATTCCACGGCGCAGACGCGAGCCTTCTGTGGAAAGTGCAGCCGCGGCGCTAATGTCGCCGCTGCCCAGGCTGCTGCTGTCGACCAACTCAATCTCCGGGTCCGAGTCGGAGTTGTGCTGCCTCTCAATGGTCAGATGCTGCTCCTCGCTTACCGTCGTATTGATCGTGACGCACTCCGTGTCCGAGTCACCGTCGTTGGTCCAGCCCACTGTGGTGCCAGTCGTTGACTCGGCCACAATGACGGGTATAACTGAAGCGTGATGCTTGGACGATTTGA